GCGGAGGGGGCCCACAGCACGGCTGCACCCCCCTTTGCAGTTTCTGGTATTCGTACATGTGTTTGTGCTTCTCAGAGGATCTTACCTTCCACGTCCAGTATTAGCTTTTGCACGAAACTCCACGACTCTGAGAGAGACCGGAATTCTTTTCACTGACAAAACCGTGCTGACACTTGCTGGCAGGGTTTTAGGTGCTCTGAGAACCAAGGTGACATGGACGGAGGACCCAGGAGGCCACGCTGCCCCTCCACACACGTGGCCGTTGGCGTCTCAAGTATTTAAAATTAAATAACATTTAAAACTTGGTTCTGCAGTGGTGCTAGCCACGTATCGTGTGCTTCCCAGCTGTGTGTGTCTGGAAGATAGTTCCGCGCTCCCCAGTCGAGGTCGATGGGACTTCCACACGGGCGGTGTGTGTGAGCTAGACGTACAGAGACAGAACGTCTCTGCAACACAGCGGAAGACGAGCTATGACGGGCATCAGCCTGTTTCTCACCGTCTAAGGATTTACTACACATTGTCGACGGGTTTCCAGCTACCAGGCGACTTGGTGCACGCCTGCGAGGAAGTACCTTCCACTCTTCAGATCCCTGAGTTTTAAACGTGTATGATTCACTTAAGAATGACTGGAGTTCTCAATAATGCTTCTTATGCGACTTGCCCAAGAAAACAGATATTACACCCATTGGGTCTGACAACTGCCGAGGCGCCACCAGCCCATCAGGAAGGTAACTACTTCTGGGTGACTCTTCAGTGCCCATCGACCCCACAGCCCCGTTGCCATCGCATGCAGGCTGGGGTCGGGGCGACTGCACGAAGTGGCTTTCTTAGTAAGTTCACTTCGCATTCTGTGAAACAGCCGCGGTGACAGCGTCACTTTGCACAAGGAAGTGTGGGAGGACGTGTGGCTTCGGGCGGAAACAGCGCCTCTGGGTTTGGAGATCTGAAGGGCCCGGTCTCAGTCCCGCCGTGCCCTTCTCCCAGAGGCATGGACAGCCCCTCACCCCAGGCTCGACGCACAGACAGCCCCCCGCCCCAGGCTCGCGTGCTGGAGTTCCCTGGAGAGCTCACCCGCCGTCGCCCGGCCTGGGGCTGGCGGTGGGAGGGGTGCCCTGGGCACACTCCCCCACAGACGTGCGGGGAGGGGACACTGAGGACACGTCCCCCAGGAGAACTCGCACAGGTCAGGCCCTCAGTGAACCTAATTTCCATGTGGGGAGGAGAGATGATTGTATGGAGCCGTGTCAGCTGATGACGGTTTCATATAGGATTAGTTCCCATTCTTGAGGCTGGTACGGCCAGAACAGAGCTTTCTAAATGGGCGAGAGGACCCGGCAGCATCCCACAGCTGGGACGAGAAGTTGTAGGACGAAGCACTCCGTAGAGGACTGGCCTTGAGGAATTACCCCGTGGGTGGACAAGGGCAGCCCCCGTCACAGCTGGGGTGTCAGGACTTTCAAAGGAGACGGATGCTCCCATCAAAGTGAAAGACGGTCTACATGGTGACGAGAAGAGCCGAGTCAGGGCCTTTGTGTCTATTCGTCTCGTTTCTCAGAATGTCTTTCGGATACGGTCTGGAGGGTCTCATCAAGCAAGTGGGTTTTAATAGCGACTAAAGATGCGGATGACTTTTTCGGGGATGTGGTCACCCCTGGAGAGGCAACGTGCTGGTGGGTATTGTTCACGTCTGGCTCCGAAAAACAGCCTAAATAACTTACCAGTGTAATCTGAAATACCAGACTAGTAAGTTACTCCCCACTGTAAAATTTAGATGTGAACCTACATTTTGCAAGCTCTCAGATTTTGTTTTTCACTGTGGTATATTTTTCCTTAAGCTGATTAAATAGAAACATCCAGAACCATGGCTGGCACCTGTGGGGAACTTTATGAGCCAGATACAAGTACCAGGAGAAGTCCAGAGAGGAGCTTTTCCCAGGCCACCTACAGATGAAAAGCAGGTTTTCAAGATTATTGCAGTTTGCTAGGTTTTAAACATTTTAAGGACATCATCGCTTGACATCACTCATTTTAGAAAATGTGCAAGTATGTCAAGACAAACCACTGGTGGTCTTTATTTTCCCCTTTCTGGCAGGAATGATTCTAACCAGAGACACCCTCTACTTTCAGAGGAGAAAAAAAAATCATGAGATTTTAAGTTCATCCAAAGTGAATTGATGTCCGTGTTTAAACAAAAAAAAAACAAACAAAGCTGAGAATTCAGATGTTAAGAGATAGTTCAGGGCACAGGAAATCCTACTTTCTTCAGTGAGGTAGGAAATTGGGGGGCAGGGGAATGCAGAGTCCCACACTGAATGAAATCAAAACCTAGGGCAGCCTAAGTAACACATATGGTCTCCATCCTGAGTACCTGTTGCTTATGGACCCTAAGCTGAGGGCCCGTCACGGGTGGACCATACACGGAAGGCCTGCTGCAAATGGACAGTTTCTCCAAAGGGACAGTTGGTCGAACTCCTTTTATTCAAGCTGACAAAAGGTAATGAGTCTCCGTAGTAGCCAGGTGAGCCAAATGTCTTCTCTCCCTTTGCCGGTTTCCTTACCTGGCTCCCAAGGGCCATCCGCCAGACAGCCTCCCCAAAGGCAGGGAGTATTTTTAGCCTGTGGAACCAGTTTTCTTCCTGGAGCCTCTGTGGGTGGAGTCTGCTGAGAAGGCTGTGAGTCTCGGCCCAGACCCAGGGGCTCAGGCAGCAAGCGTGGGTGTCCTCTGGAGCGCCAGGGCAGGGGGGCGCGTCCTTCCCGGTTCTGCCAAATCACCATCGTAAACATGGACCGAGTGAAAACGAGCTGATAAACAAGTGAGCCAGCACTATCTGGACTCTTAAAAACACAGGGAACCAAAGGCAACATGGGGCTTTCTTCATTTCTGAAGACTGGGAATGATCACGGAAACGTTCGCGTGGCTCCTCCCGTGGCGGGGGTCCTTCTCCCTAATGCTCACCACCGGCCATTCTGCTCTGTGCTGGGGCCACAGGAACAGGGCTCTCAGCCGCCTTGCCACCTGGTCCTGCGTCCGATCCACCTGTTACTAACAGCAAGGTTGGCGTGGGCGCCTTCTCTCTACCCCTTCTGGAACGCCACTTCTCCTACACCTGACGTGTCTTCTTCAGGGGGAGGGAGAAACAGGAGACTGAGAGGTGCTGAGTCACGGGAAGACACCTGACGCTGTAGGGTCCTGCTGGGAAGGGTCTCCTTCCCCGGCGCTGGACAGACGGCTCGGCCAGAGCAGGAAGTCGCCCTAAGCCCATCGGGCGGCAGGTCCTCGGCAGGATGCGGGAGTGAGGGTGGGTGGGGAGAGCAGCTCCCGCAAGAGGCCGGGTGGCGAGGGATGGAGGTGACGCTGCCCTGCACAGACCCTCCGATTAACAGGTCAACCGGCCCCCGACACAGACACAGCTCCGACTCTCCCTCAGGTCAAACAGGCCTTACGGAATCACCTGCAGAAGCATACAGAATGGCCCACGGTAGGGCGGGGGCTCACGTCATCTTCCTCTCTTCTGGTGCAAATCTGAACGCCATGTAGCATCTCAGACGCTCACTCTGAAAGCTGTCAAAGGCTTGCTCTCCACTTACAAAACAAAATTTTTTTTTAAAGAGCTTTAACATGTCACAATCACCCGCAGGAACCAGTGTTCTTAAATTCCCAATTTTTTAAATCATCCAAATGTTAAACATTAGCTTTCAGAAAACAAGAGTGCAAGTACAGGCCTTCCTTCTGCTCAACAATCTTATTTTGGTAGAATTAAACAAATTAAGAGGATGTTTCAGTGACTCACAACATCAAATGACAGGAAAGAACCTCGAGCCGCAAAGCGGATTTTAGAACCGGGGCCCCAAATCCGCCATCACGAGACTGCGCTCCCTCGGGGCTAAGAGGTGGCCGGTCCCGCGGCAGCCGCTCTCCACTCTCACCTCCATAGGACGGAGACTCTGCTCCAGGTGCAGACCCCGCCCGACTGGACACACAGATCAACACTGCTGCCCGTTAGAACGGCGAGGTGATCAGTCGCACGGTTTGGGGTTTAAAAATGAACAAGTCAACCCCCATTCAATATTGACTAGAATCATGTATGTATTTATAAAATCAGTCCCCCTTTCAGCAGGAAACGGAGGATTCCAAACCAATAATGACATTATACACAGGTAAGTCCCTTCCGGTTCATCTTGGTCCCGAAATGATTAGTCAAGACGCTAGATAACACTGCTCTTAACTAATGAAGGTAACACAGGAGCGAGAACAGAGTGTACTCACTCCTTTACTTTACAGGGAGGACTTAAAGCAAATTATGGACAATGACCCCCCCTGGCTGATAGAGGAAAGGAGTCCAGGCAAGAGCAGAGAAGGACCCCCTGCTGCTCAGGTCACTGTTATTCATCACAAACCCTACTACAGAACTCCGGAGAGGGTGTTGGGGCTGCGGCCCAATCCCGTCCCTCGGCAAGTGGCGCCAGGACGGTCCGTGAGCCACCATGTGTCTTGACTGTAACACGCATAAGGTTACGTCGACGTGAAGTACCAAAGACACGGCGCAATTTCCCTTCCCTGTCCCCACAATCAGGGCGGATTCAATGTCCCAAACACAAGGTCAGCCGTGTTTTCTCATCCTCTGAAATGACCCTCGATGCCTGTAAAATGAGGTGGACGCCGTGCGGGAAACACAAAGAAGATTACTTCTGATGACCTGGAAGGATTCTGACCATTTTTACGTGCATTTTCCCCTTTTGCTTATGTGTACCTTCCAAGGGCGGTACAGTGATGGAGTGGACAGGGATCGGGGGCAGGTGCCACCCGAAAGACCAGCCCAGTAAGACTGTCGTGGGCTGGGGTCCGGGCTGAGGCGTGCGGGTCTTGGTCTGTGTGCTAAGGACCACACAGACATTTCTAAGGCAGGGGGATAACACCCCAACAGTTTTAGCAGGAAACCCTGCAGCCACAGTCCGTATCAGGAGGATTATTTCAATGACAAAACCCGCTCACTTCTTACCTTGTTGCCCTTCTCCGCGCTTGACTCCCGCTTTCCTGCGTGGTTTCCCATCCTGAACCGATGAGCTCGTCAGAAGCTACAAGACAAACAGAAGGCATTGGCCTTAAAGCTGGTACTCTCAGAGTGTTCTACCTTGTTTTCAGTCAGAGCAACAGTCCCCTGAGGTACCCCTTGCCTGTTTCTGAGACGAGAAAACTAAAACCCTCAGACTTGAGACACACCAGAAGCCTTATCAGCACGTGCCTTTGTTGGTTTCTGATCAGAATCGGAACGCTTGGACGCGGGACCCCTGCTGACCCCCACGCTCTGTTCAGTGACAAAGACCCCTCAGCGTGTTTCCTCATCCCAGACAAGGAACCCCAGTCCAGACCTCTCGTGGACGGTGTCCACTCCGCGGCATACACACATGGGGTCCCACCTCCTCCCCAGGTGTGGTGAGCCGCGCTGAGAGGCAGACAGGGCGACACTCCTGAAAACGAACCACCGTTCAGGCTCCCTGTTTAGGGAATCATGGGGCAACAGAAACTGCCAGGTCAGACTGAGGTCTGCTTATCAGACCGTTTTAAGTATCCCAAGAATCTGCAGAATTTGCAAGGAAGGTAAAGTTGGATTCAAAAAGCATCTGTTCTTCATCTGGTTTTACTAACATAAACTTTAGCAGTTTTGTGTCTCCTCAAAAGGCACAAAACTGGAGAGTTTAGCCAAACTCATTCTATACCATTCGCTTATCCACCCTCATCCTTGGACCTGTGCTGACCACCGGGACCATTTGCTCAGTCACCTGCGCCTGGCGCAGGTGCTGGTCTTTAGGGACGGTTGTGAAGTGTCACTGTCCACGAGGAATTCTTTTTAAAGAACACGTGAAAACCAACTCCCTGCTAAACGTGAAACAGTTTTTCTTGAAGGGTAAAAAAGGGAAGAATTTCTAAAACATTACATATGCCTGCATAAAAGACAAGTCTGGCTCCCCAAGAGGGGAAAGGGAAACTGCTTAAGATCTGAATTTTTCCAAAGTCTCTCCTAGTCCTGGGTGCCTCTGAGTGACCGTGATGGGTGCCTTTGCCTCTCTCCATGAGGACCCCGACCGTCGGCGGGATGGATGAGAAAGGGAGCAATGACGTTTTTGAGTGTCGCTCCTAGGCTGTGTGTGAGCACGTGAGCAGTTATTGGGTGGACACCACCAACAGCCAACCACCTGTGGAAAGAACACCCTTCCCACCTCATACGTTGTAAATGGAAATTGGGCCGGGCGATCGCATGTCCAGTGAGAGCCCGGGAAGAGAAAGATTAAGTGAAGTGGCAATAATGAGTTCCTGTAAATCAAAGACATAGCTCTAGCAGCAATAAAACATCACTAACTTAGAACAATCAGGTGAATTCTGCATGTTTCATGCACGAGAGTGAAAAAAACCCCAGTGTTTAAAAATGTATGCTTTCAAAGATGCAAATCTACCTTTGCAGATAATTTCAGCCTCCAGTGTGATTCTATCATCTATCTACGAAATTATTTAAATTGGACCATCACAAAAACCCTCAAAGGAAATTTGGGAGGTTTGGACAAACATGGTACTTTACTTGATGGGCACAAAAAGGGAAAGAGAGAACTTGTTTTTGTCCTCTTGGGGTCTACACAGTAGTCACAGGATGTGAGTGGGTGTTCTCCCCAGGAGACATGGGTCTGAATGCAGGGAGCAGCTGTTCTGCTCAAGTCTGGCCTCTCTCTGATTCCTTGTAGGGTTTTAACTAAATATCGGGAACTTGCAAAATGTATAGAATACACAGAATAACAATGCACTAAACATCTGTAGATCTCGCCCGCCGCCATCTTAGAAATAAGCATTGGTTATACAAAACTAAACGCACGCAATAACAAGTATTGTTAAATGTCTATACTACCCAGAGCAATTTACAGATTTAATGCAATCCTTATCAAAATATCAACAACCTTTTTCACAGAACTAGAACAAACAATCTGAAAATTTGTGTGGAGCCACAAAAGACTCTGAATAGCCAAAGCCGTCTTAGAAAAACAAAACTGGAGGCATCAGAATCCCAGATTTTGAGATATACCACTATATAGTATAGTAGTATCTGTAGTGATCAAAACAGTGTGTTACTGGCACAAAAACAGACACATAGATCAATGGAATGGAACAGAAAACCCAGAAATAAAATCATGATTATATGATCAATTAATTTTGACAATGGAAGCAAGAATATGTAATGGGAAAAAGACAGTCTCTTCAATAAATGGCTTTGGGAACACTGGAGAGCTCCAGGCAAAAGAATGAACTTTCTTACACCATACGCAAAAATAAAATGGATTAAAGACCTAAATCTGAGACCCGAACCATAAAAATCCTAGAAGAGAGCACAGGCAGAATGTCTCTGACATCAGGTGCGGCAACATTTTTCTAGATGTGTCTCCCGAGGGAAGGGAAATAAAAGCAAAAATAAACTATTAGAACTACATCAAAATAAAAAGCTTCTGCACAGCAAAGGAAACAATCGAAAAAACTAAAAGGCAATCTATGGAATGGGTGGAGATATTTGCAAATGACATACCCAATAAAGGGTTAGTATCCAAAATATATAAAGAACTGATACAACTTAACATAAAAACAAAACAAAACAAATACTCTAATTAGAAAACGGGCAGAAGATATGAATAGACATTTTTCCGAGGAAGACATACAAATAAACGGCCAACAGACACATGAAAAGATGCTCAACATCACTCATCATCAGGGAAATGCAGATCAAAACCACAATGAGAGATCACTTCACACCTGTCAGAATGGCTAAACTTAACAACTCAGGAAACGACAGGTGTTGGCGGGGATGCAGAGAAAGGGGAACCGTTGTGCCCTGTTGGTGGGAATGCAAGCTGGTGCAGCCACTCTGGAAACAGTATGGATGTTCCCCCAAAAATTAAAAATAGAACTACCCTATGATCCAGTAATTGTACTACTAGGTATTTGCCCAAAAAATGCAAAACACTAATTGAAAGGGGCACATGCACCCTGATGTTTATAGTACCATTACCTACAATAACCAAATTATGGAAGCTGCCCAGGTGTCCATTGACACATGAATGGATAAAGATGTGGTATATATACACAATGGAATATTACTCAGCCATCAAAAAGAATGAAATCTTGCCATTTGCAAAGACATGGATGGAACTAGAGGGTGTTATGCTAAGCGAAATAAGTCAGTCAGAGAAAGACAATTATATGATCTCACTGATCTGTGGAATCGTAGAAACAAAACAGGTAACAAAGGAAAAAAGAAAGACAAACCAAGAAACACTTAACTCCAGAGAACATGCTGATGGTCGCCAGGGAGGAGGGGGTTAGGGGAGGGGTTAAACAGGGGAAAGGAGAAAAATGAAACGTAGGTAAAAAGAGTTAACTTCTTTTAAAGCCGACAACTTGGACTTTCGGGTTTCCTTCCGTCTGAGCGTGAAGAACCTCACATTACCAACCCTGTACTCCCCTGGGCAGCAGTCCAACCCAGCGTTCCCTGCTCCCCACCCCTACTTCCTCCAACCAGCGTCCCCTCCCTGTCTCCCCAGAGTGATGTTCCCTCCTTCCAGAAAACAAATCTCTAAACCTAAATCAGAATAGTGTGGGGTGTGTAAATACTTAGGGGCTTGTGGACAAAAGCGGAGCTATTTTTGGACAAAAGGACGTTTGAGGCTGAAATCCAATGACAGACACCCCCCCCCCCCCCCCGCTTGGAGAAAGGTAATGTTTCTTCCAAGCTGGTTGGTCCTAACCCAAACTTCCTCACACTTCAAAGCAAAACATGAGGCTGCACTTGGGAGGGTTGTTCCTGAAATATTTAATCAATATTTAGAAAACTAAAGACTACCAGACCGAGGATAGATTGAAGTAACAAAAAGTTCCAGGTCAGACTTCTGAATGCATACAGAGGCAGTTAGAGCTGACTGCCTCTTGGATGAACAGCAAGAGAATTTATTTTATACATATCATTTTGTGTAGGCAGATTCTTGCCTTAAATGCACAACATGCATTCTGGCCCAAAGAGAAAGACAAGAAATACAAGGTGAAGAGTGACGTACGATCGTTGACTAGGACCTTCGTCCTGGCGAGGCCTTCCAAGGCACCCGAGGATGGGGGTATCTCGTAGGACTGCGGGCAAAGTCATGGCATGCACATGAGTATGGGCACTGGCTTACCTGAGAGCTAGCAGGGTAGGGCCACAGAAGGATGAGGCACTGTGACGGAGAGCTCACTACTGCTCGCAGGCCTCCCAAACATGCTGAGAAGAACCAGCTGCAGACCAGCCAATGGGACACTGGCGGCCCGCCTTTATTCCACTGCCTTTTTTTAAGTCATCTCCACACCTGACGTGGGGCTGGAACTCAATGACCCTGACATCAAGAGCCCCATGCTCTCCTGACCAGGCCAGCCAGGCACCCCTGTTCCATTTCATTTCTGTAATTAATTGAATTGAGACAGCAGAATTTTGAACATGTGGAATGCTGCTTAGAAGCCAGCTGACTCTAAAGCATCTTGAGTAATTGGAGAAGCTTCTTGTGAAATAATAGAAAAGGGAAGTGGGGGAGGGTGGGGGGGAGGGTTGGAGCTGGAAGCAGAATGACCTCTGGTTGCAGAGGGGGCTGCCACACACTGCTTAGGGTGAAGTCCAGTTCCAGGGGGGGATGCCTAAAAAGCCCCCAGGGGTTACTGGAAATTTCCATAACAGTACATGAACAACCATACTGTTGCAAGCTAGGAGGCTAAAATTCAGCATAAGCTGTTCAAGGTCGCAATCCACTGTTGACCATGCAGCCTTCAGGGTTCAGAATTCACCGCTCCCGCAGCCAACACTACCACCTGGCCCCTTGGTGGAGGTCCTGAAGGGCCCCCCAGACAACACCCACCGCGGGCGGCTGCGAGTGCATGCGCGCGGCAGGGCTGACGTGCGTGGGGGCGCAGAGGTGAAAACAGGGCGCTTCCAAGTATTTTAACCAACTGCATCCTGCTGGGATTCTAACATTTCCAAGTGCAAACACGGCAAGTCAGAGCGAGATGCCAATCCAGGCTA